AGTCCCCCCTCCTCTCTCGGCCCCCCCCCCAGGAACTCAACAACGAGATCAACCTGCAGCAGACGGTGATCTACCAGGCCAGCCAGGCCCTGAACTGCTGCGTGGACGAGGGCCACGGCAAGGGCTCCCTGGAGGAGGCCGAGGCGGAGAGGCTGCTTCTGATCGCAAGTGCGTGCCGCACGCCGGGAACAGCGCCCCCCCCTCCCCAACCCCAGTTTCAGACCAGGAGAAACGCTCATTTCAGAGAAAGGGCCTTTGCTGATATAGTCTGTCTTAGTTGTTTTATGTTTTGCTGTTTCTAATAAGGTCGGCGGACACCCTGGGTGTACAATGAGATGCAGCGTGCGTGACAGGGCGGAGGAAACTGGAATGCAGTGGAGGGAATGTGGTTGTGAGAGTGTGCTAAGAATGAACTCAGGAATGTGTTTGCACCCCCACACACACACACACACACACACACGCTCACACTGTCTCTGACCCTGTCGTGTGTGTACGTGTGGTGGTGGATGGTGCGCACGTTAGAGTGGAAGGATCGCACCCCACACGAGAACTGACGGAGAGTCGAAGCGCTCAGTTACAGGGACTTGCTGAGCAGAACAGTGATGGAGGTTTCCCCCAGGTGCCCGCCACCTGTCCCTAGAGAGAAGGTTACTGAGTTCGTCTTTGGTCCCATGTGCAGTCGCCACAGAGTATATTGGTCTCATTTAGAAGCAGCTGCATTGTCAGTGTTCGAAATAGTAACTTGCCTATCCTCACGCAGCTGAGAAGAGAGCGCTTCTGATCGACGAGCTGAATAAACTGAAGAACGGGGGGCCCCAGAGGAAGCACAGGGCCGCTCCCGTGGCCCAGGGTGCGTTCGCCCCGTCCAGAGGGTCGGTCACTTTGTCGGAGATCCGGCTGCCCCTGAAGGCGGACTTCGTCTGCAGCACAGCTCTGAAACCAGGTACGGCGGTGCTTGCCCTGGCGTGTCTGTTTGGCCTCCTGGTGTAGGTTATGGTCAGATCGGCGCAGACGGGGACGCGTGGGGGGCGGGCATGAGGAAGGATGCGGAGCTCGTATCCTGGGCCTGTGGTTCCTTCTGTGAGCGCGTGTGTGAAGATGACCGAGGAAATCCCATGCGTGGGCCACTGATCCGCACAGTCACAGACGTGGCCCTGCCCGAAAGTAAGGCTAGTTGAACGTTGTTTTGAACGTAAACTGTTTTCCTGAGGGGAGGTGCCCTGACACAGCAGCCAGTCAACGTGCGTTAATCAGTGTTATCGTGAGAAGTATTCAGGGCGTCTGAAGGAACTCACTCTACTCCCTCCGATCTCCGTGAGACTCATCCCGTTGCAGAGATGCATCCTGCAAGTCGTGAGCGACTGCCCGTGGGAGTGAGGAGCCCCACGCTGGAGACACTGCTACTGCCATTCTCTTCCCTCTGCCCCTCTAGATGGGGGCAAGTCAACTTGTCTAAACTGTGCAGTCTCCTAAACGTCACTGATGAGCAGAGGGTGTGAAGGGGACCGTGGCACCAGGCCCTGAGGACAGGGCAGGATAATTAGAGCAAGCTGGAGAAAATGAAGTTTTGGACCTTTATAGAGGTTTCTTTGAAGTTTCGTGTGAGACATTCTCTCAGAGAGAAAGGAGGGCTGGACGTGGGAGAGGAGTGGATTTCAGGTGCAGGGAGAGCACGGAGCGGAGCCCTCTGCGAGTCGGAGCCATCCGGCAGCAACGAGGTGGCCTGCGTGCTGGGCCTCGCAGTCGTCTGGTGCCGGCGGGCGCGGGCAGAGGGCGTCGGGGGTTCAGGGCGCGCCTTCGGACCTGTGGTCAGTAAATGACAGGTGGTTCGTGTTTGCATCAGAATGTTTCTATGACTTGCACAGAAACATAAGTGTTTCAGTCTCAGTTTTGCAATATAATAGTATACACTCAGGTATGTACTATTAGCTAGAGAATTTGGGGTCAATAGGTAAAATTTGAAGTCAGCAGAAACTGAGGAGTGTGGAGAGAAGTTTTGTTAATTCGTGTAATAGGAAGAGACGTCGGTGAAGCTTATTCCAGAGTTATGGCCATCTGCTTTCATCTTACCTTTTCTTGTCTAAAAAACTGATTTCAGAATTGTTCAAAAAATTGTAGATCAATCGTTGTAGTGCTACTTTATTCCCTTGGTCTTCCAGAATGCTGATGATCTAAATCCGGTTTTGCTTGTGCTTACTACGGGATGCGGTTACTTCTTGCAGACGCAGCAAATCACTATTTCCTAATCATACTGAAGGCAGGAGCCGAAAACATGGTGGCCACCCCCTTAGCGAGCGCTGCGGGCTCCCTCAACGGCGATGCTCTGATGTTCCCGACCACGTACGCTCTGTGAGTGCCCGGGCCTCGGCGGGCAGACACCCTTTCCCCCTGGTGGTCGGATGGGCCCGAGTGCACGGGGGCGTTGACGGCCTGAGACGTGCGGGGTGTTCAGTCTCTCACACGGACAGACCACTCACGTTCAGTTGGCTTAACTCTTCTGTTCCTGATGTCTCCTTCCACGGAGCAGCACGTGGCTTCCACGGGACCGTAGGCGTGTAATGTCTGGGAGTGTTTTCCAACTGTGCGCGCGTGCGTGCGTGCGTGTGTGTGTGTGTGTAAAATATTGATCATAATTTTCTAGCCATGCCTTAAGTCTCCTAATGCACTTAATATTCAGTCTCAAGGAAGAGACATTGAATGCCATAGATTCATTTTGACTCTAGAGTCAAAATTCAGTTCGAAAAAAATTACTTTTACTATTGAAGATCCTGAGTTGTCAAATACTAAAGAAAATATGTGACTTGGATTATAGGAGAAAATTGATGGTTTTTTCCAGTTTTTATATTCCTAAGTGGTTTATATCTATGGCCTTTAGTTAAAACAGTGAATTCCTCTTCTTGCAGAGTCTGATAACAGTGTTTGTGGCATCATCTTGAGATATAACTTGGTATTTTTCTTATAGTTTTAATGTTTTGTGTTTCCAGGGAAGATGTGTCCAATGACTTTGAAATAAATATTGAAGTTTACAGCTTGGTAAGCAGCTACCTTTCTAAAGGAACCACTAGTATATTTTTCTCAGAGATGCCGGGTTTGAGCTAATTAAGCTGTGATTTGTTGTAGATGCAAAAGAAAGATCCCTCGGGGCCCGATAAGAAGAAGAAGGCCTACAAATCCAAGGTGAGAATGAAGGAGGCCCCGTGAAAACACAGTGATCAGAAATAACAGATGGCACCCCCGTTCTGATCTGGGTTGTAGTGATGGCCGAGTGTGTAGGCCCTGTGCGTCTTGGAGCTGTGAACGCTGAGAGTGAGCTTACTGTGAGTGTGTGGTCAGGGCCCCGAGTGTGAGCTCCTCATACACTTGGGCCCCATAGTTCTGTTTCTCTATGTCTCCCTGACGGCTTACTTCTATCACCCTTTAAACTTTTCAAGTCATCATTTAAGTAACCTTATTTAGTTTTTTTTTTTTTTAAAGATTTTATTTATTTATTTTTAGAGAGGGAAGGGAGGGAGAAAGAGAGAGAGAGAGAGAAACATCAATGTGCGGTTGCTGGGGGCCGTGGCCTGCAACCTAGGCATGTACCCTGACTGGGAATCGAACCTGCGACACTTTGGTTCACAGCCTGCACTCAGTCCACTGAGCTATGCCAGCCAGGGCTCCTTATTTAGCTTTAACAAGGAAGGAATGACAGCATGGGTAAAGCCGTAATAAAAGACTTAAGTGAAATATATTCGTATTTAAGAATTATTTTCTGTGTGGAGTGTCTCAGGTTGGCTATTTGTAAGCTTCACTAGGAAGTGACGTCTTTTCTTTCAGGCGATGACTCCAAAGCGACTGCTCACGTCCATAACCTCGGTGAGTAGGATTTCCAAGAACTGGAGCTTCCTTGTGAAACCTCCGTGGTGCACATATTGATAAACTGGTTAACCGTTTCTGAATCCTCAGCGCTTTGGAAATCTCTAAAGTACTTGTACTGGGTGGGGGCGGGCATCTCTGATATTTACACAGAGGAAAATGAATGTTTTCTGAAATGTAGTTCCTGCAGTGGTCAAGAGTTTTGCATTTAAACATTCAAATCTTTGCATCTAACGAAGAAAATGACTTGTTGCTTCTCCCCCTCTGTTTCAGAAAAGCTCCCTTCACCCTTCAGGTGAGTGGACCTGGACCGTGTGGGACAGTGGACTGGGGAACAGCTGAGCGGCCGCCTGCTCACACGGACGGGCATCTCGACTCACGGGCGTGTAGCCTGGCCTCCCCGAAAGCTGTCACCTGCATGGCCTCAGGAACGCGTGGGGCCACCGCCCCCTCACGTGCTGTCCGGTGGCCGTTGCCAGACCCCACGCAGGCCTCCAGCCACCATGTCCCTCGGGCTCCGGTGGGCGGCACGCCGTGGGGCCTGCTTGCTGGCCCTGCTCGCTGGCCCTGCGGCAGGTTGCACTGCCCCTCACCGGGCTGCCCTGCCCTGCAGACCCGTTCTGTGCTGTCAGCACTGTGGGGCTGACTTCTTTGGGCTTTGCCAACCGCCACTGGCCTTGCGTCCCATCAGCAAAGCATCTTCCCAGCTCGGTTGGGCCCGGGGCGCCAGGAAGCCAGGAACGGCCTTTTCTAGAATGAACTAGGTATCTTTTCCAGAGGCGGGCGGGGGACTGAGCTGGTTTCAGTCTCCTGCTTTGGGCTGTTGGTCTCCCTCTGGTACAGGAGTAGCTAAGAGGCACTGTGCAGTGTCGTCTGGGCTGCTGATTACGTTCGTCCGAGGCGACAGCAGGGAAGTCTTCCCTGAGCTCTTGCAGGACGGTTGCATGTTACATGCCCATTTTGGGGTTCTGTGTCTTTAAAAATCTCTGTCCCAAATGCTCAGAAGTGCCTAACTTCACTATAGTTAAATATAAAATATTTCACAGTTTGCTTTTTTTAGCAAGCTTACGTTTTCCCTACGTCTTCAGAGATGGAGGGGAACGATGCAGTTTTGTCTGTGGCAGTTTATGTCCGTTCTGTCGGGGTGCGGTGAGGGGCGGTTATTTACACTCAGCGAAGTCGCTGGGGCTGAACCTCGTCTCCTCTGTCTTCAGTGACGGCCAGCCCCGGCGGCCTCAATGCCGTGCGCACCAGCAGCTTCACGCTTGTCGGGTCCCACACGCTGTCCCTGGCTTCAGTGGGAAACACTAAGTTTGCTCTGGACAAGGTAACCCAGATTTACTTACTTACTTTCAGAAAAATTAGGTCCTTGAAAATGCTCCCGTGCTTTCAAGTATTTGAAATCTTTGAAAATAGGCATTCTTAGAATTGTACATTTTAACCAAGTATTGATGTATCTATGTGATGTGTGTGTGTGTGTGTGTGTGTGTGTGTGTGTGTGTATTACTCTCACTTGAGGAGGATGTATTGATTTTAGAGGGAGAGAAACATTGACTGGTTGCCTCTCATACACACCCCAACCCGGGACCAAACCCACAACCCAGGCACGTGCCCTGACTGGGAGTTGAACCCGTGACCTTTTAGTTTACAGGACGACGCTCCAACCAACTGAGCCACACCGGCCAGGGCCTACATGATATATTTTTTGATGTTGGAAATATTTCTCCCTGTGTCTTAACAGTTAATTTCTCAAAGCACTGTACGCTGATGTATTGTAAATGTCAGTTCTGACTACGGGAGTATTTTTAAAAAATTTTCAACGACAGTCGACACGCAGTATTGCATTGGTTTCAGGGGTACAGCGTAGTGATTACACATCCGTGTCAGGCGGCCACCCCGATGTGCAGGTGCACACAGTTGTCACAGCAGCACAGCCTGTGCTCCCTGGGCTGCTCTTCACGTCCCCGGAAATGACGTGGAGTATGATTACCTGGGAGTGTTACTTCCCTAAGCTTACTTACAGTGTTAAACATAGGCACTTGCCCATTTGAACCAGTATTTTGAAAGAGTAGTACTTTATAGATTTAGTTTTGACAAGGTAAGGAAATTTAGGTTAATTTCTTAGCAAAGTCCCCATGAAACAGAGGCGTTCTTTCCCACACTTTCCTCCCACGCTCAAAGCTTCCCCATCCCGACCTGCCCGGGACCCCGGAGTGCTTTCTCACCGCCAAGTGACGGGACTTTCTGTGACGGACCAGACCGCTCTGAGGGGTTGGGGAGCTGGAGACAGGCAGATGCCAGCTCTCGGGCTGACGCCTGCTTCCCAGCACAGAGGCGCTCGGAAATGTTGTGGGAGATGAAGTATGAAGATATGGGAGGCCCGGTGTCTGGCCTCAGCCCCGCGGGCCATTTCCCCTCTAACTCTGAGCGAAGTCCCTTCGTTGCTCTGGGGTCTCGCTGTCCATGTGTAGAACAGCAGGTCACATGAAAACCATGTGACTTTAAACTTTCATGCAACCTTCCTTTTTTTTTTTTAGTTGGTAGACAAAAACTGTACTGTGCTTGAAATTTTGATGATTGTTAATGCATGAGTGTATTTTTTAATGTGTTAATTTAAAAAATGCTTGTACCTTTTATGTATTCAGTGATTCAGCCAGTTTAACACATTGAGTGATCCTGGGTCTTTTTTTTTCTCTTTATCTTTTATTTTGTCTGTTTTAGATAAATTATGATGTAAAAGAGCGACAGCTACTGGGCTATTTGTTCCAGGAAAAGGTTGCCGTTTTTTCTTTGCTTGAAACTAACAAGCTTAAAAAATCAGTCCTTAATTTTGGCCTGTGTGTATTTGTTTCACTAACCACTCTCGAACCTTCTTGGTTGTTGTGCGTAATCAAGGACGTTACATACATTGTTCCTTCTGTAGTCTCTTGAAGGTGGGCATCTTTACGTTGTTCTCTCCTTTTTTCTTCGTGCATGCCTGGTATTATTGGCTTGCTTCTGCGTTCTTTTTTCATCTTAACGGTCTTTCAGATTCAGTAGTCTCTTCAACATTGATTTTCTGGGTACTAAGATAGAAAAATTGATCACTACGTCTAAAGCTAAAATGTGTTCAGTATTGTTCGTCCCCCACACAGTGAAAGAGCTCTTGGCGATGTGTTAAGTAGAAAGCTTCTGGCCAATAGGCATATTGCTATGTAGATCATGCTTCGTTTTTAATTTTTAAATAAAATGCATTTAACACTAAAATTATACCAACTATAATCATATTTTAGATTTTTAATATCCTTGTGAAGACCAATGGCAAGCATTTTGTGGATCTATAGAAATGCTAATTTATAAAGTGCTGGATAGCATTGTATTCTTTCACTTTTTGCTAAAACAAGGTTTGCGAACTGGGGTCTTGTGCCCCATGTTCCTGTCTGGCTGCTGTGTGTCCCGTCGCCGGTTTCCGAGTATGTTTGCTGGGTTTTGGGAACCTCTGAAACGGAAGGGGTTCAGTGACTCGGGGTGAGGCAGAACATTTGCTTTTTTGAAATTTTTTTGTCTGCCATTTTAATTCAGAATGTCACAAAATATTTCTATTCTCTTCATACTCTTGAATTCATAACTTAAATAGCCAGCCGCATGACTGAGTGCAAAATCATTTAATTCAGTTGGTTGCGATTAGTACTCTAAGGTCTCTTTCTGCCTCAAACACAATTTCGATGTCAGATTTGTCCTGAATGTGCTTTTGTGAGTGCCAGAGAGAAAGCGTATGTATATTTGTTCCAACGGCTTGTAGTTGATACAAAAGAATATTAAGAATAGTTCAGCTTTGGTGTCCTCTACATCAGTGGGAACAAATGGAAGCGCTTCTGCGCCCCTGTCATGGTTCTGTTTAGCTCGGAGAGAGTAAGCAGGTTCCCGCGTCTTCCCAGATGCCGTCGGTGCAGGGGAGCGCCTGCCTGTTTCCCGGGTGCCTTGCCCAGTAACGGCACGGCCGCCACCTCTGGGTCCCTTCAGAGCGGCATCGCCTCTGCCTCTGAGGTTCGTGCACACTGTTCTCTCTAAGGCACAGGCGGCGAACACAAGGCCCTCCACCTTGTTTCTACTTGGCAGCAGCACCGAGCTCTCGCTTAACTGTTAAGGAGGAGTTACATGTACACAGTCCTAAAGTTACACTTGGCCCTTCGAAGGCAACTGTGAGTCTGATGTGGCCCCCGGTGAAGATGAGTCTGACACCCCTGCTGAGGGTTTAGGATCCACCACGTGGAGCCTGGCTTCTGATCGGAGGTTACAGACGTCTGGTGCCCAGTCTGGCATCCAGGAATTTAAATGACGAATCTCAGTGAATCGCAGGCTCTCAGATTCTTTTTTCCCCTTTGAATAGAGAATCCAAAGTAGTCACATTTTTTTGTTGTTGTTCTTTTTACACAGTCGCAGGTTTTATTAAACGTTCATGGATAAAGGGAGGGTATCCCACAGCTCCTCTTGTGACTCAAGGAACCTCACAGGTGTTTCTGCTCTCCGGGAAACAGAGACGGCAGTTTGGACAGTACCAGGGCGAACAAGGACCACCACAGGGTTTGGGGTTGTGGGAGGAGCGGTCAGGCGCTGTGGCGAGCCCAAAGCTGATCTCATGCTTTCGGGCTGGTGTAATTGTTAACAGTCTCCCTTTCTCTCTCGGAAATACCCCGGTGTATAAAAAGTTACACAGTTACCCTGGTTATAGGCTATATTTTATAGCTCTTAACAATAATCTTCGAGGTGTAGATAGCTTAAAAGACCCTTTTGTTCACCAGAAAACAGAATAGGATCGTAGATTTTTATGCCTTTCCAGACTCGGCCGGGGGTAGCGACATCGACCCTTTTGTGAATAATCTACATTCACTTTATCAGCACACGCTTCTGACTGGGACTGTTCTCTGCATTCACAGCTGTAGAGTAGGAGGGGCATTTTCTTTCTATCTTTCAGAGATGCTTTTACCAGCAGCAATTTTTGGGACTAAGTAATGGAATTCTATTAATTAGCATTGGGAGCCTAAGGAACTTCAAACTGGCTACATGGAAAAGAAAAGTCAAGGGAATTTATAGCAAATACAATAGTAAAATGTGATATTTTAATTCTACACTATGGATCCCTTTCAAATTCAGAAACTTCGAGATTTATCTAATGGAATTAATCCATTGAAAACTATATTTTTTGGCCAAGAGAAAATTAAATTGTTGGAAAATAACTTTATAATAAAAACTTTAAAATTTAGACTGAATGAAGATTATTCCAACTAGGATATCATTTTTTTCCACTGGACAGCAGAAATGACAGACAGTAGTATCATTTTTTTTTTTAATTGATTTTTGTAGAGAGAGAGAGGAAGGGAGAAACTGCGACTTGTTGTTCCACTCATTTACGCATTTATTAGTTGATTCTTGCATGTGCCCTGGCTGGGATCGAACCTGAAACCTTCGTATCTCAGGACGATGCTCTAACCCACCGAGCTACCTGGCCAGGGCCAGCATTGTTCTTTCCTGACCCGGAATATGTATGTATCTTTACGGATATATATGTTACCATTTTCCTCTTAATGGCTCAACTCCTCAACTCCTCCAGTTGAAACTTTTGTGTTTGTTGTAATCTGTGATTTAAATTTGAAATCTTTTAAAATTGTCACATATACTTAAAGCAGCTTTTATAATGTAAGATACTTTTGACATAAGGTGTCTCCACTAATTAGTACTATGTTGATAAGAATGACTTATTTAAACATTTATGTGAATATTTATTTTAAAATTATTAAACCTGTTGGGGTGACATTGGTTAATACCATTTTGTGGATTTCAGGTTCAACTTCATGCTATGATGTCTGTGTATGGTGTCATGTCACTGTTCTCAGTGCCAGAGAGACAGCGAGACTTTATCTGGGAAAAAAAATGTGGCCCCCCCAGACTTTCAGCCAGCAAGAGCAACAGGGTCTCGGTTTTCTTAAGTTTTGTTTTGACAGTTTTGATGCTTCCCGTGTTTTGCAGCTAGGCTGTTAGGTGCGTGGACATTTGAGATGATTATATCTTCCTAGTGAATTGCTCACTTTTATCTCTGATAATCTTTTTTTATCTGCAAGTCTGTTTTGTCTGATGTTAATAGCTGTAACGACAACAGCTTTCTTATGATTAGTGTTTGTATGTTATGTTTTTTCCATTCTTTATTCTCAACATGTCTCTGTCCGTGTATGTCAGATTTGTGTCTGAACATTTTCTATCCGTGTTCCCTGGCCTGGCAGTCTTGCCTCCTCACTGGGTGGTCAGCCCCTGTGTTTCCAGGGCAGTACCGATGTGGCTGGCCTAGGCCCCCACAAGAGCAGGCCGAGTCACAGCCTGCGGGTTCAGTCTGGCCCGTGGCCTGTTTGGTTTTGTTGTTTTAAATTGCCCCTGACAACCTCTAGTCTGCTTTTTGCCTCTGTGAGTTTGGTTACTTTAGACAACATCACATAAGTGGAAACATGCCGTGTTGTCCTTCTGTGACTGGCTCTTTTCACTTAGCATAATGTCTTCAAGGCTCACCCATGCTGTAGCGTCTGATGGGGTTTCTTTTTTTATGGCTAAATAATATTCCATTGTATGTATGTACCATGTTTAGTTTTTCTTTTTTTCCATGGAAGAACTCTGGGTACCTAGTTGCCCAAACAGTGTTCTTTCAGCAGGCATGCACCGAATGCCCAGATGTGATTTGGCAGTAGGCTACGGGGACGGACATGGGAAAGGCACAGTGGCTGACCGCAAGGGTCTGCCGTGCGCAGGCGTCGTCGGGCTGTGGGCGGGGACAGTGAGGGACGTTACAAAGCGGAGTTCCACAGCCTGAAAGACAAACCTCACACTCTGAGAAGGACAGCGTCTGGGTGGCCCAGAGTGGTTTTTGTGCCCAGAAGCTGGGGGAGAGGAGACTCTGCCACACTCCCTGTGTCCATCCATGTGCTGCGGATGGGCCGGCAGGCTGCTCCTAGCCCTCGGGTGTTGTGAGAGCGCGCCACTGGACGTCGGGGCGCAAACGCCCCTTCCCGACCGGGTTCCAGTTACTTTGCATAAATTCCCAGAAGGGGGGTTGTTGGATTATGTGGCAGTTCCATCTAGTTTTGGGGGGGTATCTGATAGTGAAAAGTTTTTAATTTTGATGAAGCCTAATTTGTCAATTTTTTCTTTTGTTGCTCATGCTTTTGGTGTTGTATTTGAGATATAACACCTTTATGGGTTTTTTTTTATATATTTACCTTTATGTTTTTTTCTAAGAGTTACGGTTTTTTTAGCTTCCGTATGTAGGGCGTTGATTCATTTGGAGTTAATGTTTGTGTGTGATGTGAGGTAGGGACCCAACTTCCTTCCACGTGTGGGTGCCCATTTTCCCAGCACCTTGTGCTAAAAAGATTGCTCTTTTTTTATTGAATGGTCTTGGTACCCTGCTGAAAATCAATTGGTCGTAGAGGCGTGGGTTTATTTCTGGACTTTCAGTTCTTTTCCTGTGCTCTGTATGTCTGTCCTCATGCCCATACCATACCATTTTGATTATGGCAGCTTTGGATTAAGCTTTGAAACTGGGAAGTATGGTTCTTCCAGCTTTGTTGTTCGTTTTCAAGATTGTTTTGATTGTTTGGGGTCTCTTGTAGTTTCATGTGAATTTGAGGGTCAGCTTTTTAATTCTGCTGAGTAGCATTTTTTTAAAATTATCTTATTTATTTTTAGACAGAGGGGCAAGGAGGGAGAAAGACAGGGAGAGAAACATCGATGTGCGAGAGAAATATTGATCGGTTGTCTCTCACACGCCCCTCACGGGGGACCTGGCCTGCAACCCAGGCATGTGGGAATCGAACCTGTGACCTTTACTTTGCAGTACAATGCCCAGCCCACTGAGCCATACTGGTCAGGGGCTGAGTAAGATTTTATTGCATTAATATACCAGTTGGTTTATCTAGTCTCCTACTGAGTATATTTTATTGATGGAGAATGGATAAGCAATAACATTCTCTTCTTAAATCTGAGTTTTCTTTATCAAATTAACTGGACTTAAGGTTTCATTTTTATCAGTTTTAACTTGAATGGATTTATTCTTTTAAAGTGTTTGTTCATGAGGAACCAGCGGCTTTTGGCCACTTAATCCATGTTTTAGCTTTAGAAAAGTGTGTTTGCAAGGCTTAATACTCTCTGTTCAGGGCACACCTATTTTATCAAGAGAAATCAGAGTTTGAAACTCTTCTGCAAATAACTTACTGTCTTTCTTTGCAGGTGCCCTTTTTGTCTCCTTTGGAAGGTCATATTTATTTACAAATAAAATGTCAAGTGAATTCCAGTGTTGAAGAGAGAGGTTTTCTGGTAAGTAATCTGTATGTATGTTCTTCCTTCTGCTCTGTGGGTGTGGACGAGGCTTCCCGTCGGAAGGGGAGCCGTCTGAGAGGGAGGAAGACCGCTCCGTGAAGCCGTGCGGCGCTCCCACTCTGTGCCAGTGCCTGCGCCGGCTGGGAGTGGGGTAGGCCACAGACAACCCCTCTGCTCAGGGGCCTTCGGTTTGGTGTGGTGGGGGGACTCGTGAACAGGCGAGGACGACCCAGCGCTGCGACCGGAGGAGGCGTAGAGTGTGTGCATGTTCGTGAACAGGGGTGGGGTGGGGGGGCGGGTCGGCTCCTGAGCATGGGCGGGAGGCCTCAAGAAGGCTGCTGGCAGAAGCACCTCCTGCACCGCCGGGTGAGCGAGGCGGAGGGGGGGCGCTGCAGGTGCAAGGAGCCTGCGGTGGCCCAGGGCCTCCCCCTCCTGCTCCCCAGAGGCAAGGGTGTCCCGTGGGGACAGAGGCAGGTGTCTCGGGGGCTGGAGTGCAGCGCGTGAGTGTGTGTGAGGGCGGTGATGGGAGGTGCTATGCCAGAGCGTCGATGGGGACAGCAGTCCAGACAGAGGAGGTGGTCCTGGGTGGAGGCGGGGGAGGAGGAGGAAGGGCAGCCCCTGCGACGTGACTCAGTGGGTGCGGGAGCAGGAGCAGAAGCAGAAGCAGAAGCAGGGCCGGTATCTGGACGACAGATCCGTCCATCTTCTGCTTTAGTGTTTCTTACTGCCCTGGCTTGGTTGTGTGCCTGCTCCCTAGCTGTCCTTCTGCCATGGCTGAAAGCCACATATTGTGTGTGTGCGTGGGGGGGTGCAGATTTCAAAGTACATCGTAGACATTAGCATGCTCCCCTAAGTCTTAGGTGTGTATCCCCTGTTTTGATGCATGCATCTATCTATGTACCCCAAGTTTTAATTAAGATAGGAAACCTCACCCCAGAAAGTTCTCTCATGCCCCTTGCCAGTCCACCCCTATCCAAGGTGTCAGGTTTTCATGAATTAAGTTTTAAACAATTTGAATTTTAGGTGCCTGGAGACATGTCTCAAGGATCAGGGTTTAGAGTTCAAGATGGATGTTTTAGCTGAGCTGAGATTTGCGAATCTGTGACGTGGAGACGGAGATCTCAGCGCAGGGGCAGTGGGTGGGGCGGGGCCAGGAGGAGCCCCGCAGCTGCGTGCAGCCCCGGGAAGAGAAGCTCCCGACGGGAGCAGAAGCTAGGGTGCCGTGGTTGTAGTGGGGGGTGAGGAAAGAGGGTGCGAGCAACTCTGGAACAAGGTCTGGCGGCGAAGGGGCAGGTGGGGTGCGGTGCCTGCCAGGGCCTGGAGGGTGGAGGGAGGGCTTCCTTGACATTTTGTTAGGGTCGCACAGACTCGAGTCCTAAAGGGGGAGCTTCTCAGAGGCCCCACGCGGCTGGGGTCTGGGCAGTGGGGATAAGCGAGGTCCTGGGGGTGAGACGAAGCCAGACCCCAGCCGCAGTTTGTGGTCACGGGGTGGGTCTCCTCTAGAATCAGACTGTTCCCGTCACCAGAGGAGAACTGGATGTGTGGAGGATATGTAGACAATTGCGGGTGTGTGAGAGAAGTGGGGAGCATCCAGGAGCTGCAGTGTTCTCCTGAAGCAGGAATTTGAATGAGACAGATCACGTGCACTTGCTGCAAAAGGCGCAGAAGGAAGGGGTGAGGGCACGGAGAGCCAGGGGGGCCGGAAACCGGCTTCCTTGTTAGCCGCTGTCACATGTGAATCCAGCAGGTGGCGCTAGATACTCGTGGAAAAGCGTTTTTATAAAGTCCCGAGTTGAAGGCAGCGTTGGCTCAGTGACCTTTTCTCTTAGTGTAAATGTTTCCATGTTTCATTGGAGACACCTTGGGCAGCTGGGAGGCTCTGGTGGCTCGTTGATCTGCATATAATGTCTGAGCCATCTGATTTTCACTAGTTTATTCTGTCTCTTCCTGCTCTCCCTCTCTTGAGGAGCCCTTACCCTGACCCAGAGAACTTCGGTCCCCTGTCTGATCAGTGCATTTTCATGACCTGTGCCCTCTCTGAAGAACAGAGGTGGCAACCGAAGTTCAAGTTGTTCAGTTCCCCTTCCCGCCAGCTGTTGGGAAGGAGACGACCGACCGCAGAACCTTGCTGAGTGGTTCTGAAATGGTGCTGGTCTCGCCCCGGCTGGACGGAGAGAAGCAAGAGAAGGGCGTTCTGGATCGCCCGGAAGCTTCCGGTTCTGCCTTGTGATCGTGTGTTGTCATCTGATTTCCTTGGCCCTCGGTGTCCTCGACTGTAAGAATTAGTCACCTGACCTCTTGTCATTCCCCTCTGATCGTAGCGGAGAGCAATAGCCACCTGTGTTCCTCTTCTCCATCACATTTTTCCTTGTCTGTTACCATTGTGATGTGAAAGGGGAACATGAACACAGGGGGGCGCTGGCGAGTCAGTCATACTAACTTTGTCCCCAAGGCTGGAATAAGATTCCTGCCTTATTTCCTTGGGGCTGTCAGCGGGCGTCGCCTAGAAAAAGCACGCCTTGGGGAGGAAAGAGGGTAAACTGGGGAAGAGAAAAAAGGTGGGGTTAAGAGGCTACATGGTTGGAGTAAGCTAATTCATTTAGCTAATTAATTAAACTCATAAATTTGAGGTTTTATTCTATCATGGAAGCATTTCTTCGCACAAAGTAATTTTCCTCTGTGGCCAGAGATTGCACTCCCATCTGAGCCACCTTTTGGGTAGATTTACACAAGTCAGTGGGTCCAGGAGAGTGTCTGCGCTCCCCGCCCCCCGCAGGGTTTGGTGTGAGGCTTTGCCGAGCCGTCTGAGGCGACAACTCTCGATGCGTTTTGGAACCAGACACAAAGATGCCTTTGGATTGTCTGTGTTAGGGGTCAGCAGAGCAGCCCCACCGTTCATTTTCACAAAGCTTCATGGGCACACGGGCTCACGCGTCTCCACAGTGTCTGTGGCCGCTTTGCGCTGCGGCAGCAGCAGCGGGCGAGCGGGTGGTTGTGTGGTTGAGGCGGAGCCTGGGCGGCCGCAGGGTCCAGCCCTGTGCTGTGCGTGCGCTGCCTGGGAGGCCCGCCGGCCCCGGCCGAGACCACCGCCACGCTTTTGCCTGGCTTTGATTTTAACACACGTGGTGGTTTCCAGAGGACGTCTTTTCTAAATTACAACTAAGGACTTCCTTAAATTAGGGCTCCATTGTGACTGCAACTGAAAAATAGTGGGGTTCGGGGGAAGCAGCTTCCGCTTCCCCTTTGCAGCAGAAGCACCTGCATGGAAACCCCCACACGGTACGCATTGCCTGTTCCGCAGCCCTGCCCTTACCAGCAGGACTGCCTCGCTCCCTGGGGACGGAGCTGGCCTGCGCCTGGCGGCAGGCAGGTGCTGCGTCCACGTGGGCCCTGTGGCTCCGAGTCCAGATGCTCGTCCCCGTAACCCACGAGGGCGTGCAGGCATCCGCTGTCTCTTTTCTAGTCCGGTCCTGTTCGGTTCTCCTGCATAAACACTAAATGCCAGTCTTCTGTATGGAGTCTAATAAGCTATCATCAGGGTTTTTTTTTTTTTTTTCAGTATATAAGGCATGATATTCTCATCATCTTCCTCTCTAGCACTTGAAGTACTTTTCTCTTACTTAAGGAACATTTGGTTTGGGGTGCTATGCTATTAAAAAGTCTGACATTAGGTAGATGTGTGTATTTGGGGTTAATATGGGAAAGTTCTTAAATGCTGTTTGCCTATAGATGATGCTGGAAATCTGGGTGCTTGTCTGGATATGAGCAGTCGGTGACTCGCATTCCTAAGGTCAAAGGCGTGATGAGAAATAGCGCACATGGATTGTGAAATCGAAGTATTTCAACCTGTTGGTGTTTAACCGATGGAATTAACACTCACTTGCTCCTCAAGTTTCTGAAGTCGGTGTTTCATGGACTCTTTTAGACCATATTTGAAGATGTCAGTGGTTTTGGAGCCTGGCATCGAAGATGGTGCATTCTCTCCGGAAACTGTATCTCGTACTGGACCTACCCAGACGACGAGAAGCGAAAGGTAAGGAGGAGAGCTGGGCAGTGGTGCAGCCCCGGCTGCCTGCACGTCCTGTGTGCACAGGGGTCCCCACCGCCCACCCAGGCTCCCCTGAGCGCGTCTGCTGTGTCTTTAGGAAGGGTCTTGTGGCAAGATGTGTGTGTGTGTGTAAAAATTTTATATTTTACCCATTCCCTGTGATTTGACCACTCTTAAAATACCTTAAGGCATATATTGTCTGTCTTTCCTGCTAGAATGCTTCATAATATTTTAATTGGCGTTTCTAGTCAGAAATATATTAAATTTACTTTTGTATTATTGTCACCATATAAAGTTTCATTTACAAGGATATCGTGAGATATTTAGGATGTCCAAAAAGACACACAAAACCAGTAACGTCCGCCGGCCTCTGCTTGTCCACGGGAGTCCCGTTGAGGCCCCCGTGTAGTTTCCTCTCCCCTGCAGCACCAACCCTGCCCTGGAATTCTGCTCCTGCTCTCTTACTTAACCTTTTATTACCTATGTCCCTAGTCCTAAGCAGCGTGTGGCTGCAGCAGCATCGCTTTAAGCATTACACAGCTGACGTCCATGTGCGGTCTCGTGGCCCCGCCCCTTGGTCCGTGAGGCCGGTCCGTGCGGCTGGTCCGGGCTGCCGCCCTTTCTCTGCACTACAGCGCCCCTTCCGTCCCGCGAGCGCACCACAGTCAGTTCCTGCATCCCCCTCTCTGGCCTCCTCCGTGGTGTCCAGGTCGCTGCCGGGCCGGACAGGGCTGCCACGACCGGGCTGGGTGTGTACAGGGACGAGAGCTCTTTCCTGAGTGTGCACCCCTGGCCGCTCTGCCGGGTTGTAGGGTTTGCACGTCTTCAGCGTAACCGGGTTTTGTCCCGCGGATCGTGAAGTGGCTGGGCGGCGTTCTGTTCCCGTCGGCGCGGGTCTCGGCGTTCCGCGTCCCCGCCGGCACTCGACTCGCCAGCCCTTCCGCTGCTGTCAGTGTCGTGGGTGCGAACTGTTTCAGCGCACTGTGCTTTACGTTCTCGTCCCGGGACTAAGCATTGAGAGTAAGCATCTTTTCTTGTGTAGTTTGGCTATTTGTATTTTATGTGGATTGGTTTATCTATCTATTCTATCCATTTATGGTACATTGCAGTTTTTTTATTTCCCTTGTCTTTTGCTTGGCATGTATTTTATTTTATTTTTTTAATTTTTAAAAGCTTTACTTATTTCTTTCTAGAGAGAGGGGAAAGGAGGGAGAAAAAGAGAGAGAAACGTCGCTGTGTGGTTGCCTCTCACATGCCCCCTACTGGGGACCTGGCCCACAACCCAGGCACATGCCCTGACTGGGAATTGAACCAGCAACCCTTTGTTTCACAGGCTGGCACTGAATCCACTGAGCCACGCCAGCCGGGGCTGGACCACTTTGTATTTTCAACAGCGGCGTATGCGAGTTTGTTATTCACCCCTCAGCCAGTCAGCAGAGGTCATCACTGCTCCTTCCAGAGTTAGCCACCCTCGTGTTTTAGAGTGGCAAACCGTTTTAATTTCTTTTTAAGTCACCAGTGCAGTGGCCACTTTTGTTGGCTGTTTATAACCTGGCTGTGCCCGCAAGCCCCCCCCTGCCTGCCACTTTCAGGACCACTCGGCCTCCTGAGCGCCTCCCTTGGACCCTCAGAGGGGCGCCGCGGCTCCCAGCAGGTCGCCAGAGCCGAGGGGGGCGGGGCTCGAGTGCTGGAGGCCCTTTGGCAGCGCTGGCAGATGAGCCCCGAGTCTGGGCTCCTGCGCACAGAAGGGGAGGCAGCGAGTGGGCGGGGCACGTTGGGCGCGTGTTTCTGGTGCTGAAGCTAGAGGGCGGCGCGCACAACCTCAGGACACCGTTCGTTCGTTCGTTCCTGGTTTTCAGAGTTTCCCTCTGTTTGAGGTTTTCCCCAGCAGAGTTTAGTTTTTGAGTTGACTAAGAGCTCCAGTTGACAGTTTGGCTTTTACTCCTATGTCCATTTGTGGTTTTTCTTATTAAGAAGCATTACAGAGGGTGGGACAAAAGTAGGTTGACAGTCGTTTGTAGGGGAAATAATACACTAATGAGTAAATCATAATACAGGAATAAACTGTGTTTCACAAACTCCCAACCGTAAACCTGCTTTTGACCCCCATCCTGTATATTATTTATATTTCTTTCACTTAGTGTAAATTTTAAATTAATGGCTTTTTAAGCTTACACAAACTTAAATACTGCTTAATGCTTACTGACTTAAATGGTCTTATTTTCTACTAACGATCTTTTTAAATGCCTGTTTTTGAAGAATCCCATAGGAAGGATAAACCTGGCCAACTGCACCAGTCGTCAGGTAGAACCAGCCAGCAGGGAGTTCTGTGCGAGACGCCACACCTTCGAGCTGATCACGGTCCGGCCGCAGAGAGAGGACGACCGAGAGACCCTCGTCAGCCAGTGCAGGGACACGCTCTGCGTCACCAAGTACGTAGGTCCCGGGCTGCGGGCGGTTCTGCGAGCGAAGCAAACGCCTGCCCACCAGGTTCCTTCCCGTGGGAGACACACCAGAGACGGCCCTTGTCCTCAGAGAGGGGACAGTCTGAATAAGGAAGTGAGACACACGAACTGTCAGCAGGAGCACAACCGAATGGCCAAATTAGCAGAGTCAAGGAAAGCATAACATTTAAGTTACAGCTCAGCTAGTCATGTTTTCAGCACACTCCCGGCGTAGCCGTTTGCAGGGCCCTTAGCTAATATGCTTCGGGGTGAGTTAGAAGATTTCATGTATAATTGAGAAGTCAAGTATTATTTAAAGAGATTTACACATCCCTTCCTTTTCATTCCAAAATGCCCTTGATTAACCAGGTGGCTCACAGGAGCAGTCGCCCTGCTCTGCACATTTCGCGTTGGAGATTAACAGAATGAACTCTTGGGAGTGTCCCTTTTTGTTAACCCGAAGCTTAAGTTGAAGATGCAAAGCTTATTGTTAAGAGTCTTAAGATTCTTTTGCTCAGATGCCTAAGAGAAGCTTAAAGACCACTTTCAGTGCCCAAAGCTGTGAGTAGGGACACTGGTGACCTTGACACAGTCTCTATTAGTGAGGCCGTTGGGTGGGCTTTGCAGACAGGGAGCTGGATGGAACTGACCCATGGGTTTCTGATGTGGAAATACCAGAGAGCTAGAGCCAAGAGACATTATATGCATTAAAGTAGAGCACAGTTGCCTGCATACTCCCAGTCTGTTTTACAATAGCTAGTTCGGGGACCGTTCTCTGGGAAATCTGGATGTCTGGGTTACTTCGGATCAGTTCAGTTGGAATCCTTCCCTCCTTTGCTCTGGGGGCCTCTGTGCGCAGCGGCGTCAGGCAGGACAGTGGGGGCGCAGTGGGTTTAGTCATTTTGTTTGTCCAGGTTCACGGTCACGGGGGAACCAACCAAACTGCTGTACAGTGGTTCCTGGCCACCAGGCAGGCCCATTTTAAATGAACCCTTTTAAGTAGTGCATTTTTCACATAGTCTTTGCTTTTATGTGCTAACGAGCCCTCCCACACTAGTCCTTGACCGTCTCCTGCGGTAGAAGTAGCGGGGTCCCACGGCGCCCCGCCTCCTCTGCACTTCTCTGCCTGCCCTTTCCCTCCGTGTGACATGGTCACGAGTGGGGTGGACACTTCCTGTCCCAGCTCCTGACACGCGCATTCTCAGTGCAGCCCCGTCCGAATCTCTAGCTCTGCTTGGCGGCTCCTCGGAACTGTTGTGATCGTCTGTTGTGTAAACTGTAAGCATTGTCCTGTTCTGCGTTCCCTTTGCCCCACTCACCTGTTCCGTACAGGGCCCTTTATCTAAAGTTAACATATCTCACTGATACGGTTTCCCCTGACCGACCGTACTGCCTCTCCCTCCCTCAGTACCAAAGGTTTCTCTTCTGATTAGTCTTGCCCGCTTCCCGCTGTAGCCCACCGGTGCGAACCAGAGACGCCTCCGCACACGGGAGGCTGTGCTGCTCGGGGGAGCTTTGAAGCCGACAGAGCTCAGTTTAAGTCCCGGCTCGGCGACTTGCCGAGTGCCACCGCGGCACTCGGTTAACTCTGCCGGCCCTCTGAGTCTCCCTGTGAAATTTCACCCCCGGGGAAACCAGAGGGGCGGTGGGGATCCAGGGGTGGGCCCGCGGAGCACAGGGCCAAGGGGCACGTGGAGTGGAGTCTGCAGACGGTCCCTGTTACGACCGGCAGCGTTGCATCCTTCCTCGCTGACCGCTCGGTGACCCTCACTGCTTGTCCGTGCTCCTGTCGTTTCTGCTGCCGGTGGGGAGCGAAGGAGTCCGATGTAAAAACCTTCTGACAGCTGTCTGCCCCCTAGAGGAACACTCCGGCTCGTGCCTTAGAGAGTTTCCCCCGCCCCACCCCGCCCCTCGCCTACCCCGTCCACTCGTCGTTCAGCTTGCAGCCACATCCGGCTGCAAAGCCCAGACTCCCGCAGTGGACAGAGAGGTCCGGGTGGACGCAGCCTCAGGGCCTCCAGAGCGTTCACTGTAAACCGCACATCCCGCTCACATGGTGGCGTGGCAATAATGGGGCACGGTAGAGACCGCCATCCCCCGCGCAGCCAGCGGAGGTCCGCCAGCCTGTGGTTCCAGCTCCTGGGAGCGCGGGTCGGAGGGGTCTGGGGAGCCCCGAGTGAGGCCTGTGGTGTGCCAGCTCTTGGGAGGAAGTGGCCCGCACTCGGGGTGGCCCACGCCACCCGGCTGCCCAGGCCAGACCACCCGTGCAAGACAGTGACCGTGTTCGGTGTGGGAACACCCTCATTTACCAAACATCATCAGTGTGCGCTGTGGTTCCGCTAACCAGCCGACAGCGTAACTTTTTACCATTATGATTGAAGAAGTGTCTCCCTGTGGGGCTCTCGAGCGCCCAGGAAAAGAGGGTAAAGAGTAACTCGTTTGACGGGCGGGCGCGCAGGGCGGTGCGGAACGGGCGGAAGGGTCCTGAGGCTCGTGTGTTTGTTCCGTAGGCACTGGCTGTCCGCGGACACCAAGGAGGAGCGGGACCTCTGGATGCAGAAGCTCAACCAAGCGCTCGTGGATCTCCGCCTCTGGCAGCCCGACGCCTGCTACAGGCCCCTCGGGAAGCCCTAGGCGGGGCGGTGCCCGTGCGCCCGGAGGGCGTGTCCGCGCCGTGTCCTGCGTGTGTCTGAAGAGCATCAGACAGGCTGATCGCATTTTTTTTTTGCTTTAAAAAAATGAAAGGGGATGTGCCAATATTCACTACATATTATGCAGTATTTATGTCTTTTGTATGTAAAACTTCAGCTGATTTGTCTTCTGTCCTTCGTAAATAATTGGAGGAAAATTCGTTATAGTTGATTTTACTAAATCGTAATTTAAAAGTCTCATTTTCCTATAACTCTGATTATTCAGCTATTCCTAATAATTTTTTTTTAAGTAAGAAATTTTAAGTTGCCTTCTTGGTCCTGTAGTCTCAAAGTAGAGGGTCTTCAGGGTTAGAGGTCATTGGTTCTGTAGCCTGAGTACTTACCCGGTGGGGTGGCGGTCCTTCATCGGGTCTGTCGTTACCAGGGACCGAGACCGTGTCCGAGGGCCTCACGGGCACGTTTGCAGTGATGGTGGTGAGGACCTTTCAAATGACACGCACGCACATTAGCTTAAAGCTCGCGGCTTCACACAGGAGGTGGGACTTGGGGGGTAATGTGTAAGGTGTGGGGGTAAGTGTGTTGTTTAGAAGACTTAATAATCCTATGGTTTACATTTTCTCAGTTACTTTAGATGCTGTGTGGTGTAGACTTTCATAGAACATAGGCTTTTAAAAGTCACGATTTTTGCTGTATATCCTACAGACTCCTCACAGACACATGGCGTGGTAGTTTTTCTCTGTTCTGGTAACAAGAACAGATGTAAATCCAAGCGCTTTTATATAAAACAAGTACACTTTATAAGCTGCTGCGGACTAACACTTTGCTCGCCAAAGTTCTTGACTTTCTTACTTTTCATGTTCATATAGGACGATGTCCAGAAATCCGTTATGAAATCATTCGAAAAACTATTAAGTAACGTATTTCCTTAAAAGCCTAATACTTTATTCTTTATTTTTTTTGGTTATAAAATATTGTAAAGCATGGTCTCAAACTTTTAAGTACACTTTGAATTTCTTCGAATTGTCAAAGTTATCGATGCTCTCATTTATAAACACTAAATTCTGTCACCTGTCATTTTATCTTTTATTGTTTTAAATGTGTTTTATGTGTATTGTAAAAATGTATTTTATGATCTCTTACCTAAATAAATACTTGCAAGTGGCTTACAGAGTCAGTTATTTAAGCAATCTTAGTGGCAATCTATTTGAAAAAAAAAATAAGTAAAACTTCCCTAATTTGGTGAAGGAAATAGACACACAAGTTCAGGAAGCACCGAGAGTCCCAAAGAAGATGGACCCAAACAGGGCCGCTCCAAGACACATAATTAACATGCCAAAGATTAAAGATGAAGAGAGAATCTTAAAAGCAAGAAAAAGGCAGTTACCTACAGGGGAGTTCCCATTAGACTGTCAACTGATTTCTCAAAAGAAACTTTGCAGGCTAGAAGGGGCTGGCAAGAAATATTTAAAGTCATGAAAAGCAGGGACCTACAGCCAAGATTGCTCTACCCAGCCAGCAAAGCTATCATTTAGAATCGAAGGGCAGATAAAGAGCTTCCCAGACAAGGTCAAGTTAAAGGAGTTCATCATTAACAAACCCTTGTTATCTGAAATGTTAAAGGGACTTAAGAGAAAGATGATCAAAACTATGAACAATACAATGGCAACACATACTTATCAATAATTGAATTAAAAAAAACTAAGCAAAAAGAGCAGACAGAATCATGGATACAGAGAACATTTTGAGGGCTGTCAGATTGGGGGTGTTTGGGGGGAGTGGGTGAAGAGGTGAGGGCATTAAGTACAAATAGGCAGCCAAAGAACGTACATGCATGACGCATGGACATGAACAAGGGTGTGGGGATTGCCCCGGGGCGTGGGGGGTGCTGGGTGAAGGGAGGCAGAGGGAGGAAAATGGCAACAACTGTAATAGCACAACCAATGAAACATAACTTTGAAAACATGAGGTGTGCTGCTCCACAGCCCCAGTCTGCAGGGCTTCTTGAGGGTGTTTTCCTGACAGCCTCTTTCATCTCTTTGTGTCCTGGGGCTGGGCTCCTGTGTGCCCTTTGGGCTGCCTTGAGTGAGAAGGGGCCATTCCCATCGGCTCTTGATGTGCGGCTGAAGGGCGGAGGGTGATCCCCAAGTGCTTAGCAGAGACTGAGTGGAGAAGGGACCTCACCAACCAAAAGCAGGAATAGGTTTGGTGGGGTCGATGACAAGGTCCCTTTTAGTTACAGATCTGTGTTTATTGTTGGGGGCATTGTCTGTGATGGTACAAAATTCAAAAGGCACAAGGAAGTGAATGAAAAGTATCTCTTCTCCCATTGCCACAACCACTTCTATCAATTTCTGTGTTCTAGAGACAGTCTGTGCATATTACACATGAATTATATTCCTTTTTGTTTATTGATTTGAGAGAGAGAGATTGGTTGCCTTCCATATGTGCCCCTACTGGGGATCGAACCTGCAACCTAGGTATGTGCCCAGATCCAGGATCGAAGCCACAACCTTTTGGTGTTCAGGATGATGCTCCAACCACCTAAGCCACCCGGCCAGGGGAAACGTGTTATATTCTTTTGTTCATTAAAAACATTTCACACAACTCGTTGTAAACTAAAGGAAGAGAGCATTGTTTCTTATACATTAACTGCAGGGGTGTCAAACTCATTTTCACCAGGGGCTACATCAGCCTCGTGGTTGCCTTCAAAGGGCCGGATGTAATTTTAGGACTGTGTAAATGTAACTACTCCTTAACAGTTAAATGAGAGCTCAGCACTGCCTCCGGGTAGAAACAAGGTGCCAGGCTGGATAAAACAAGGTGGAGGGCCGGAATTGGCCTGTGGGCCTTGTGTTTGCCCCCTGTGATACAAAGGGTATATACAATTCCATTTTAGGAGAGATTTAAGGTGATTGTGGAACAGCAAGACAGAAATACCTCATAAACAGTGAGAAACGCTGCTCAAAAGAATCCCCTGTCGTTTGTCTGCCTGGGGGACCGCCGGGAGCGTTGGAGTGGACAGGACCATCCGGGGCGTGTGCTGTGAACAGAGAAGCAAGGACAAAGGGAGCATGTTCTTTGGGGGAAACACGGAAAAGGCGTGGCCAGTGACGGCCATCCACCAGAGGAAACGGGGCGATCTCTGGCGAGAACGAAGAAGAATCTTCACATTCTGACCTCAGACTCGGAAAACGCGGTCTGAAGCCTGGGGCGGCCAGTTCAATCACGTGGTTCAGGCGAGAAGTCGGGCTGCAGCGGAATAAATCTCCAGAGGGAGGAGCAGCAGGGTTGAGCGCCTAACGACGCCCTGCCTGGCAAGTGTCTGTAAACGAAGCACAAGCAATAGACCAGGACAAAATATTCACAACGTACTTACTCATCAGAGAATTAACATGCGAGTCACATAAAGAGCTGCCGTGGCTGGCTGCCCCTGTCGGAGCATTTACTATGATGCACCAGGAGATATTCTTGGTGTTTTGCATGGATTATCTCCTATCATCTTCACGTGGCCTTCTGAAATGGACCCTGAGTGAGGAGACTAAAATTTAGGCAATTTTTCCGAGGCCGCATGCTTAGCAAGGGCCCACCAGGATGCTAACCCAGAATCTGCATACTTCGCCATTCCGCTATGAGACTTCTTAATAAATAAAATGTTAAGCTAAAAGAAAGGGGCAGATCATATTAGCAAGAAAACATGCACACACACATGTCCCAAGAGCCAACAAATTAAAGCAAATGCTAACGAACGGAAGAACACGCATTTAAACTGGCCCTCACTCAGACCGGTGACGCTGGAGTCGGTGTTGCTGAGGAACAAATTCGTGTTCTTGATGAAAATAGAAACTGATTCAGCCTTTCTGGATGGCGATTTGGCAACCTCCCCTAATCCCCTATTGGACCTCTTGTCCGTGTAAAGGTGGAGCCGTCATTTCCAGGCACTGGTGGTGGGGGGAGTGCAGGGCGGACTCAGTAACTGCCTGGACACCTGTGGTCTCTCGAGTCCATGCTGGGTGTGCGCCCTGGCCGCAGGTAATAGGTGAGGTCTCAGGTGAGGTTGGAGGAACATCTCCCCCAGCAGGGAGCCTTCAGGTGAGGAAACACCACTCTTCTACACCCTATGTCGTTAACGTCCCTGGTGTGACTTCGGGAGACCAGGTGCACAAATCCACAAGTTCTAAGTTCACTTACCATAGCCAGCTGTTGACCAGCCACAACCTGCTAACAGCATTCCCTGGATAGAGACCTCCTAGCAAATACCAGTCTTTGTACCAGGAGGCCCGGTGCTCAGCCCATTTAGGAGGACTCTAGATAGAGCACCTTCTTTCCTTCCCCAGAACCGAAGCCCGGCTGCTTCTTCGAGTCCTCCCCCTCACTCTCCTCGGATGACCAGGCCGGCGAGCCAAGGCACGCGGGAAAGGATCGTCTCAACATTGTGTTTAAAGGGAAAAAGTGGGCATAGCTTAGAAGTCCCTCCACAGGGAGGTTCATTAGAAATAATCGGCAGGCCAATGAATGGGAAATTACAGCACGCTCTGCAAAACCCCAGGCCGTGTTCAAGGAGAAAGAGGAAAGGAAAAATAAGCTTCCGGGGCACCTCTGAGGGCGGGGGCACGCCGTGTACCGTGAGTCATTATAACACGTGCGTGCACATGCCAACAGTCCCCCTTCCTCCGAGGTCCCGCTTTCCGCCGTGCCCGTCACCCCCGGCCAACCACAGTCTGCACATGTGAAATGGAACACTCCAGAAATACACACGAGCGTTCAAGTGCGTGTGTTCTGCCTGGCAGGACCCACCCTCTGCTCTTCCGCCCCTCCCGCCCCGGAAGTGAATCATCCCTGTACCTGCTCCCAGCCCGTCCGCTAGTCAGGGGGGGCCATCTGGGTGAGCAGGTGACTGTCGGTGCGGGTGTCGCTGCGATTGTGTTCACGTAACTCTGTTCGACTGAGTGATGGTCCCGGAGCACCTAGGGCAGTGATGCTGCCATTCAGACCTGCCAGAGGGAGGCGGGAAAGTGCTTCCTTAAGGGAGAAGGTGCAAGTTCTTGACTTCACGAGGAAAGGGGAAACAGAGTCCTATGCTGAGATCGCCAAGACTTACTAGGTAGGAATAAACCCTCTATCCGTGAGATTGGGAAGAAGGAAAACGAAGTTTGTGCGAGTTTTGCTGTTGCGCCTCCAGCTGCAAACGTCACAGCCACGGTGTAGGATAGTTGCCTGGTTAGGATGAAGAGGCCGCATTAGTGGGTGGGAGACGGGAGCAGAAACCGGGCTCACGGCCGGCTGGTGTGCGGCTCCAGCAAGCGCTGCGCCTGCACGGAGACGTCCAGCCCTGATTGCTGCAAGTAAGGGGCGGCCACGCAGATTCAGGAACGGGTTGTTGGACTGAGAAATAGAGACGTTACCGGAGGGGCTGCGTCTGCCCAGGAAGAAGCTGCTGCCACATTTCCGGCAGGGGGAGGCACCTGAAACTCATGCAAAATAAGACTGACTTTAAGTGTCATTGAAAAAGGAAATTTTAAAAAAGAAGTTGATTAAGGAGACATGGTATCATCCAAATCAAGTCTTCCGTTACGAGGAAACTGGGCTGATCCGTAAGAAGCTGCCCGAGAGAATCTATCTTCAGGCAAGTGCCCAAAAGGCACTATGACAGGAAAGAAGAAGGCAGAGACGAAGTCTGGCGCTTTGTGGCAACGCCACGGAGCATCTGACGGAGCTGGGGGGTGCCGTGTGCCCAGCGAAGAACCCAGGAGCTCTCAAAAACAAACACGAAAATCACCGGGTGTGTCATGGCAACATCGTTGGAAAGCGTGGGCGGCCCCCTCGTGTTTATGGAACGGTCCTACTGGTGCACCTCAGGAGGAAGGGTGAGTGCAGCGCAGTGAGACATTTGAGAGAGAGAGAGAGAGAGAGAGAGAGAGAGAGAGAGACCGCCTTCACGTAACTTCTTGTGGTATATTGCTGTTACTATGCCGTGTTATTATGAGTTATTGTTGCTAACCCCTCCCTGTGCCTCATTCATAAATGACACTTTATCACAGGAATGTATGTCTAGGAAAAAACACAGTATATTTAGGGTCTGGTGCATCCACTGGGGGTCTTGGAACGTGTCCCTGTGGGTAAGGGGGGACAACTGTACCCGGATAAAAGGGCGAGTGGAACCAC